TCCTCCTCCTCCCCCTCCTCCTCCTCCTCATAGTTCCCTGGGCAGAAACACTTTGTTTTTCTTCTACTGTAAATGATCTCTTATGAGATCCAGTCCTAATCTTTTAAGAAAATTTCTCCATGATATTTTTCAGTTGTTACTTTTTGTAAGCTATTAAGCTATTTATGCCAAACATGTTTAGGATTGAATAAAACAACTATTGGCCAATGCTTTGCATCTCAAGTGGCATCATAGTTGCTATATAACTCATCAATAGCATTTACTCCATGTTTGGGTTTGTTGTTGAAAATTTCCATCACATGTCCATTTTTGTCAAGGTTTCCCTCTCAATATTTTCATCATGGTGAAATGTTTAGATCAGCTGTACTGGTTTCATTTCTTTGCCATATAAGAGGCCAATGTTGTATCCTCTGAAATTCAAAGATTGTGCTATAAAATTATGTTTTGAAATTGCAACATTTCATTTGAAATTTCTTTGTTCCTGTATAGTTCTTGCACTGGTCAACTTGTGCTTTGTTAGCAGTTGTAGCATTAATTGGAAATCAGTAAACCAATTTGTCAAATGTATATTTTGATTAGTTTGGGAGACAGGAGCAACAAGTCTGTTCACATCATTCATATAGTTTATCACTCTATGAATGAGGACCTGTGGCTCAATTCCAGGATTAATGTCCAGATTAAAAGAATAATAAGTCTTCACACCTACAATGGCATACATTTTTATGCCATATTTTGACCCATTGCTTTACCGTAAGTCTTTTACATTCCCACAATCATCATGAGAAATCTGCACTGAGTACAGCAAACCTACAAATGCTTTCAGTTCAGCTGGTGGTGTTGTATAGTAAATACATAACACAGTGTATAGTTCAACTTTGAATATGACTTTTGGTGCATATGAAATGTTTTACTTGCATTTCAGCTTTTAAGTATTTCACAGCATCATGTAGTATTTGGTCTATTACTGTTTCCAACATTGAATGGCAGTGCTGGAATTGTGTCCAATGTGTTTCACCCCTGCCAAGACCTTCCC